CTCCTCTGCACGGCCCCCGCCGATCCCAAGCCGGCCCGCGCGAAGAACGGCATCCCGAGCGAGTCCTCCATCGTCTGCGACCTGCGCCGCGGCGACTTCGAGCGCGGCGTGCGCCGCTTCTGCAAGCGCCCGCGCTCGCTGCGCTCCAACGCGCTGCACGAGACCCTCATCCTCGCCGTGGCGCAAGTCCCGGACGCCGCTGCCGCCGAGGCCGTGCTCCGCGCCATGCCGCGCCCGACCCCCACCGCCGTCGCCTCTGTGGTCAACGCCCTGTGCCGGGAGCGCAACGTCCCCGCGGCCGTCGACGTCCTCGAGAGGTCGCGCCAATGGGGGCTGCCGCTCGACCCACGCATCCTCGCCGCCGTCACCCGCGCCGCGCAGAGGACCCCGCAGCTGGAGAGGGCCGACGAGCTGCAGCGCCTGGATGGTCTCGCCATGAGCAGCACCCTGAGTAAGGCCCCCGCCGGCCCGATGTACACGGCCACGGCCGCAGAGTTTTTCGTGGAAGGGGGCGGCGACGGCGAGGCCTGGCTGCGAGCCATGAGGGACGGCGGCCTGGGGAAGCGCGACACGCAGAATAGGCGCGACGTCAAGAAGGTCATGAAAGCTGAGGCCGCCCTGCGCTCGGTGAGGGGGGATACGCGACAGGTCATGCACCTGTGGAGGAAGGTGCAGGGGAACCCGCAGCTCAGAGGCGAGCTCGGCGTCCTGGCCGCGGCTGTATCCGCGCTGGTGGTCTCCGGGTGGCGCGGCGGTGGCACGGCGTTGGACTTGCTCATGACGTGGGTGCACGACCATCTGTACGATGCTGAGACCGGGTTAGGGAAGAAGCATTATACAGAGAACCCTTCGGCGATGGCCTTCCTGATCACCTCCGCGTCGAAGGCGTTCGCGGCGGCGGCGCGCCCGGCGTCACAAATGGCGTTGTCTGCTTTTGATGCGCTCTGGAGAATGGAATTGCCGGGCTTCTCCACATCGCTTCCTATTGCGGGGTCGTATTTTAAAGTCCTTCAACATGCCGGACTTTCGTTGTCGGAGACTAGGGATCGGATCGATAGCTTGAAGGAGCATCATATTCAGCTGGATGAACAGGGGTTTTCGATGGCTCTGGGAGCAATTTTGCGATGCGACGAGCGCGTTTTGGACAAGCTGGCGGCTGGTAAGGAGTGGGTTCAGAAAATGCGACAGGCAGGAATACCCCTAACTGTCCAGACGTATAATCTTTTCGCGGGACAGCTGCGGTATTGCAATGATCCGGAAATGGTAAGTTCGTTGTTGTCAGACATGACAACGGCTGGCGTCGTGCCTACACCAGTGACGTACGGATTGGTATTCAGTGCATGTGTTATTCCTGGCGCGTACACGTCGCCGTCGAGGAGACGTGCGTTGTCTGTGACTATGTGGGAGAGCGTGCTCCAGGCGATGAGTGAGCATATGGCCGTGTCTGGCGTCGTTCACACAGCGAATTCGCGATTGTCTCTTGCACGAGCATATGCTCATCTAGGACTGACGGGTCCTGCGATGGAAGAATTCGAAATCTTTCTCTCACAGCGAGGGGACGGGGATTTCAAGAGCGCGGCGTCGCAACGAGAAGTTGAGGACGCATACTTCCAGATGATGTTTAATTTTGCACATTGTCGTGAGGGTAGCTCAGACGGACCTGAGATGGTCATGACTCTTTACGAGCGAATGAAGGAAGAACGAGTCGCAGTTCCAAGGCATGCGATTGACTGCGTTTTGGTCGGATGCGTGCGCAAAGGGGAGGGCGAGCGAGCGTTGGAGTATGCTCGTGATGCAGTTGCGGCGGATCCTCATCTTAGACTAACCGTATCTGGTCTCAAGCATCTTCTGATGGCGCATGTTGAGGTGTGTGATGCAATGTACTGGGAGCGTACTAGGAAGCTTGTTTTGAATTCGTCGGAGATCCTGGGCATGCCCCAACTAGCCCATATTGTGGAGAAAGTGGTGATATCGTTTGCGAGACGACAGTCCATGGATGTTTGCAAAGATATTATGCTCATGGCAAACATTGAGATGAAGGATCTAGAATATGTCGTTCGGGGGCGGGAGTTTACAAGATTTCGAGATAGGGGATCACAGCAAGTGGAGGGCGCGAAGAGAGGCGAGTTATCAGAATCATCGCAAAAGAAAGATACTTTAGAGGCCGGAGGCGAAGACGCATGCCACAACCAAGAGCGGCAGTCCGGTGGGTTTGGGGACGGATCAGTCTTGCCGTTATTGTAACCATTGCGAGTCGGTTTCTTGTACATTCTCCACAACATAATCCACGGAGGACCGCAGTAATGCGCGGCTTACGAAACGGACAATACGTTTTCTTCACTTCTTCGGAGTCTGACTGTTCGTGAATTTTTGAGTAGCACTGCGACATGTGGGTAACCTAGCAAGTGCCACAAGCTTGCCTTGCTATCGGTAAGTAGTAGCAGGTTCTAGTCGTGCACAAAGCAAACGTATAGTTTGGAGTTTGAGCGTGGGATTCCCCTCGGCCGGAACCACTGCCAGAACCAAATTAGGAATGATTTACCTCTGCGGCTGAGCTACGAATCGTTTGCACGCGTCACAAACTTCAAATATAGGCAACCTGAGTTGAGAGCGCGTAACGGCAATATCAAGCATCTTGTATCCCGCTTTTCTTATCCTCCCAACCCAGCGAGGCTTCCCGTGTTCCTCGCTGCTTCAGAAGCTGTCTGTCTCGTTTCTCTAATCACACAGTTCCTTCTTACGTTCATTTAGAAGTTTTAGTCTGCGGAACCATCTTTGAAGGTTACTGACATGCCTTTTACTTTTTCAACGTACAGCACTGTTGGACTTTTTAACGGGGCAGCAGCCGTCAATACTGCACTCCGACAACGACAACTACTGAAAGTCCCAACCATGACCGATTCAGCCTAAAGAGATACGGTTCTACCTGCACCATCAGCGTTTCAAAAATAATTCCTCTGTCCGAACACTGAGAAATACGCACTTCTTCCATTGAAGGTGCGATAATACGAAGAACTTTTCTTTTCACCCTCTCATTATATTAGTTTCACTTGTCCTGACTAAGACGGCATACATTATTAATGACGCCTTCTTCGAATGGCCGCGTAAGTTTGTTTCCGCGGTTTTGGTTCAGAAACTACACTCTAGAAGAATCCAAATAGACTACATGAGACTCCTAAAAATGCTCTTCTTCCTCGGCGTAAAACAATCCGAGATTTGCTTATGTATGCGGGAAAAAAAAGGAAGCTTACGATGTGGCGAAAACTGCTATACTTGAAAAAGTCTTGTATGGATCAATTCAACATTTGGGGAAACTGGGAAATTGTCTGAGTGCACACGCCGTCGGAGAATCCGGCTGCATGAAGTCTGAGGACGGCATCCTAACAGGCTGTCGGGGTTCGATTGCTACCCTCCCCCAGTGCCAACGCCAAGTCTTGATCCACCTCCCTGGTAGTTCAGACCCTAATTCTCCTCCACCCCCCGCCCCGCCCCATCTAACCTGCTCTCCCAGAGAACATCTCATGAGAGGCACTGCCGCTTTTGCAGTGTTCGCATCGGGTAAGCATTCGGCGCACATAAAGGACAAGCGATAAATAAAAGATTGTTAAAAACCTTGCTCGAGCATAACGTGGAAATCTTTCTTCTCTGCTGCTTGGCCAACCTCAGTACTCAATCCATGGCATTACAATGTTCAGATTGAATGCACCCGATTAGTCCAGTTGAGCAGTGCCTATTTCACAGCAGAGCCGTTTGTCACTGCAGCACAATGACATCATTTCATTGCATGATAATTTGATCATGACCGAGACGATAACTTGCAAGTTAGAAGTAATCTTGTACAAGGTCAGTTGCCCTCATCTGAGGCCATTTGCTACCTACAGTAGATACTAGAAAGGGGCCAAAGTATCGAAGGCACTTAAAGTATATCTGTAGGCAAAGCATCTGCACTCGCGTCTTCGCGCCCGTTGACTAATTCTCGCAGTGCTTGATAGTCACTGACGCCGAACGTTTCTTGGATTTTCATATGAACGGCTTCGACATGTTTGTCTCTGAGCGAAAACTCAGTGAACCCCTTCCGCTTCTCCGGAAAACAGTACACGAGTTCTGCGTTACCAATCCCTAACCCATATCTTGTGGATTGTGATCGAAACTTGCTATCGGCAGCCATCGTTTGTCGGTCACACCTTTGCGCGACTGTCTGAACTGCCTCGTCGGAAAGACTACGACCCATAAACCCCGCAACCCTTCTCGCTGTAGCTCCAACGTCCGCTACCACGTCTTCGTAAAAAAGCACCAGCACATTCCGTCGCGATGGAAAGAGCCAGTTCTTCACATGATCGAACCACAACCCGTATCGACGAAACGCCGTTTCCGACGAAGCATTGCTTGGCGGTAACCCAAGTAAATACCTCGATACAAGCTCATCAAAGATTTCTCTTTTCAGTTCGTCATCAGTAACATTCTCTCCCAATAAAGGCTCCAGCAAGAAGTCGAGAAAACTGGCCGGGTACTTCAGCGGGTCCCGAACACATACGATGTATCGCGATTTGTCAAGATTGAATTGATCCGCGCACGAATGCGTCTTGAAAATTCTGGGGTTCGTGGGAGCTTCCATAACCCCGAACTCAGGACCGAAGTCAAGCCACGGCGCAACTTGGTTGATGTCTTCGAAAGCAAGGCCGTCGGGGTCGAATGGAGGGGCGCCGCCTGTGGCAACAACGACCTGATAGGTTAAGTTTTGCAGGAGCGTTGTTCCAGCTTTTGGATAGGTTGCGATGATGAGATCCGTAGGTTCCGGGCGGTAGTGGCGCAGACCAGTAGGTTTGACCATGCCTTCAAGCACGCGGGACAGGCGGTCCAGGAGTGCATTTGCTTGAGATTTCTTGTCCATGCCAGTGCAAGGTGCGGAAGAATATGGGGATTGGGTGGGTTGCCCTGGAAGGCTTCGTGTGCTCCTAAGTTGGATGCTTTATGCTCGCACTGCATCTGGCCACCGCTGCTAAACTCGTGAAGTTAATATTCATCTGTGGGGACCAAGGTCAGTATTCGCTTATGAAATTAGAGTGGTGTACGCAAGTTGATGTGCGATCAAAAAGATGCGATACCGTTGGCTGTCCTGAACAATGCCAGCAGTAGTTTCGTCGTGGCAACAACTGGGAGTACTGTACAGTACTAGCATATGTTCACGGATGGATGTGATTCACGAATTCGAATCACATCATTACACCGGTCGTCTTTATGAGCTCTTCAATGAAGAGACCTGTTGGAGCATCAAATTTTGGCCGCTTCCTTGCTTCAGAGAGCACGCGGTTCACAACCACTAACTTCTTCCACCCAGATATAAATGCTACATTTCGATGGTTTTGTACATCATGCATCCTCCGCATGCCTTACCTTCCCTTTTAGCCATAGCACATACATGATCACCATCTTCATTGCACTGTTACACGCCTGTAGCAATCCATTTTGCACAAAACTTGGAAGTCTCTCAATGTGTAAGTCCCCGACTACAACGTTGCTACCCGCGAAGAAATGCCTCAAGATAGTCCACGAGAGTCCGATGCCCATTGGCTCCTTCAGAAATTCTTCTCGCGACGCACGGTGGGTATCCGGCTCTTTCTTGATCTCAATGTTTTCGGCATAGCATTTTGCAGCGGGATCCGTATTCGGTCTAACTTTTGTGATGTCTCCGGACTTCTCTCCTGCTGATGCTGCTCTGTGTTCAGGCAGTTTGCGCTTTCCTATTTTCTCGTTCTTCTTCATGCTTTCTCTCTGCCGCAAGACGTCCTTCATTTCGATAAGTGGCTGGCGTTCATGCCTTGTACCTGTCAAGACATCATACCCGCATTCATTGTCCATTTCTTCTTTCCCCTCCTGGATCTTACAACGTACTCTGGATTCGAAAGGTTTTACGTCATACACGCATGTCCTTTTTCTGTTCCCTTCCTCGTTTCGATCTTTGTCCGGTTGCCAAGAGTCCCCGATCTCTGCAAAAGCGGCGACATACTTTCCCCATAACTCAGGCGTGCTTTCACCCATATCAGTGAGTAGATTGTCCACCATATCGGCATAACTTCGAATCTCCTCTCCCTTCGTATGCGAGAGCTCCGATGGCGTCTTCGGCGTCCACTGCACGTACTCAATATCCTCCGGATTTCCAATCCTCAACCAAGTCTCCATCGCCTCCATGCAATTTTCCCATTCCTTCCTCAGCTCCCTATTCGTCGTTTCGCGTTCATCCGTTTTCTTTCTCGAAGTCCCATAGCACAGCCGCATCGTATTAATAAAGTCAACTTGGACGCTTGCATCCGTCGGAAACTCATTCAAATACGCCGTCTTCCTCGCTATTTTCGGTAAGCCTTCCCTTTCTTCCCGCAAGTTATCCCCTAACACCACAGTGTCCATAGCTTGCTCTTCCCACCACTTATCCCGGGCCTCCAAGGCCGCCGAACACATACGCGAGGCAATCCGTCTGAGCTCTATAAACCGCAGCACACGCGCCCCAAACTCGTCCGGCAAGCCCAGCAACCTCGATAATCTCAACAACGTCACTTGCACGTGCGCGACCGGGAAGGAGTCCCAGCTCCCCGTAAATCGGCAAGGGCCCGAGCCCTCCTCCTTCACGTTGCCGAAAAACTTACGAATGGGCGGCCATGCGTGCTGATCGCGCGCCAATATATTCGCAGCCCCGACAACATCACCGGGGACCGGCACAACCATCGGGGCGAACAAAGCTGTCACCACCTCCGACTTACGAATGTGATCAGGAAGGTCCTCGATCCCAAACCCCGGAAACGGGACCTCCTCCGCGACGACCATCCTACAAAGGTCGCGTGGCAGCATGGGAGAGCGCACATAAAGGGCCGCGAGGGCGACAAGCGCGAGCACTTCCGACGGGCGAAAAACAGTGCCCCTTCCAATGACACCTTTTTTGCCCGCATGCCGTCTGGCAACCCAATGCGTGATGAGCTCGAACAACGGAGCCATGATCCTGTCCGACACGCACCGCAGGTCTATGAGAGCAGCGGCGAGTTTGTTGGCGGAGAGGATGACGGCCTCGCAGAGCAGGAGCTCGTGGTTAACGAAGGGGCGTGACTGCGAGAGGGGACCATCAGCGATGGAATCGCGGCGTGCTTTGATCTTTTCGCGAATGATGCGGGCTTGAGAGGACTGCGACTCGCGCGTGGAGACGGCTGTGCCCGTGGCGTAAAAGTCTATCTCCTCCTGACGGAAGCCGGCAAACTCTTCGCCGCACGCGTCGCATAGCATTCGGCCTTCCTCCGTAGGCGTGAGGGCATTGTTGTAGCAGCTTGGACATTGCATGATGAGAGGGGGCGGAAGGGCATGGACGGGGAGGGCATGGGGGTGTGGGGGAGGGTCCCATTGATCTGTTGCTCTGAATTGCTTAATAGATCGAGCTGCAGCCAGGTCTGCAGCTGGCAGTCCTTCGGCAAGCTCTGAGGGCCGTTCAGGTTGCAGGACGTTTTGTGCCCGCGTTTCGTTCAGTGATTTATTTGTTGTACAAAGTAAACTGTAAAAGAATTAAACTTGCGATACCTTTTCAAGAAATTCCTACCTCTGTTCATTGGATAGTGAAGATAGACATGGGGCGCGACAGCAGTGCAACGGAAGAAAGAACAGCCAATGAAATATACTTTCTTCTCGCATCCTTGCTGTGTACTGCCTCGGCATGTGGACGGTCTCAGCTGTGCATGAACAAGGGAACCTCTGGGTTCGGCTGGCGGTATCACAGCTTCTCGACTCTTGATTTGAGAGGTATCAGTACCACTTGAAAATGGTGCCCGCGACGACCTTAAAGCCGGCAAAATCCTTAGAGTGACCCCCCTCCCTCGCCAGGGCATCACCAGCATCCCCCCAATACTAACATCCGAACCACTCGAAAACGAATTCATTACAACAAGCAATCAGAGAGAAAAACAATATCCTCCCGTATTTGCAAGAAGGAAGCTTCATCGAAACAGTCTCCACTTTTACAACATATGGGAGCTTCAGTCGTAGAAAGATCTCGCCTCACGTAAATTAGTCGCCAGGACACACAGCTTGTCGCAGTAAATCCATCAACATGTGCTGCGAACCCATCACGTCGCTTCTGGCTATCCCCGCTTTTCCTCGCACATGCAATGCATCTAATAATGACGGGATTGCACTCTTGCTTTCTTCGGAGACAGAAGATGAATGTGAGAAAATGAAGAACAAGTGAACATCAGTCATGTCCTTCAATTTCTTTTTTCAGCTCATTACCTTGGCCTCCCGTCTAGAATCACAGCTTTCGCTCATCGCTTCTCTCCGACTGGATATAGCGTTTCAGCTTTCGCGAAAAACATGTTTTTTCGAAGCTGGTTGCTCATAGGTAAACGCAACAAGACTTCCACGAACCCTCGCCTACTGCTTTCATGAAAGTGCTCGCCCCCGGCTGCCCGCAATAAGGCGTGCTCCTTTTGCGGAGAACTCCATGACGGGTACATTGATGTCTTAAAGTCATTTTCTGCAGGTTCCATGCGTGGCTGCAGAATCACATGAAGCATCGAGGCCGCCATGGCAATGAGACAGGCTGGCACGCCATGTTCCGGCAGTTCGAATTCTATTTTGCCATCGGATAGATCGAATCCTATTGCACCGAGCTTTGCCGGGGTCTTGCGAAGTGCTTCAGATGCTGATGGCATCGGTAGCTTCATTTCAAACTGACCAGGGGTTCCTGGCTGGCTTCTGTTCTCCAGAGAATACCATCTATCTGGACTTCCAGAACCCAATAGCCACAACCTCAAACACAAATGGCCCGGTTCAGGTTTACAGTGCTGAAAAGAGTGCTGTTCTTGCTTTTTTCCCTTCTTGTTTGTCACCATATCACTGGTGCTGTCTACTGGTTCTTGAAATCCTTGCCATCCAGCAGCCAAAAGACCGAAGTCTTCTCCCGCAATTCTGAGCACAAACACCAACCCCCCAGGTTCACTGGCATAGGAATATTTGTCATGGGAATTACCGAAACAAATCGACCCGGCTTTGGCTAGATATGCACTTGCCATTGGATAAGACAGAGATGGCATACCTGAATTAACATGGTATAGTTCAAGAAAAGGGCTGAAACTTTCGACCATTTCATCCACCATCACCGGAGTGTAGAAGAAGCGCCCACGAGCAATCTCAGCAGATTTTTCTGTTTTGAAAGATGCAAAGCTTTCGAATACGGTCGCAGCCGATGCCGAAAGTATGTTGCTTTTCTGAATAGTCTCCATTGCTTGTCTCGAGTCGGTGGTGTGTACCCATAGAATGTGATCCAACACAGTTTTGTCACTGTCCTTCAACACTGTCTCTAAATCACAAACTGAAAGCGATGACAACTGCTGCGTACTGATCTGTTCTGTAAATAGCTGGACCGACTTTTTGACAACTGGTACTGACAAACGCTCCTCTGGAGTGATGTTTCCTCTCCACATCCCTCCCGGTCTCGCTACGGAAGTTCCAAACTCTCGAGACCATGTCTCCACTGTATCTTCCCACCGATTCATGAGATTGGAGCCCGCTTTCCGGTCATTTAGAGTGTCATCATGTGGAAGAAGCCGTCCAGTTCTTATTGTCGTGTCCTTTACATACATGCGAGGGTGCAGCATGTGTGTGTGCCATACAACGTCAATGTCGTAGGTAGGAACCCAAACTGACTTGGCCCTTCTTCTCTGAAGCTCAAGGAACATAGAAACATATCGGGTGACCGCCATTTGAAGCCATTTGCTATCTTGATATTGCGGCATGATAGCCACTTGGTAGTGGAAAGCCATCTGGCGTTCAGCCGCTGCGACGATGTCGTATGAAATACGCGAGGCCGCTTTCACCTCAACACTTTCCTCTGCATCCTCTTGAAGCGGTGCTGTTTTCAGAGAGGATGTGATATCATAAGGTTCTTGCGGAAAACGAGCTTCCCAAAAGCGACGCGCTTCCTCTATGCCTCGTTTCCGCGCAGCGTCTACAAGCAAGACGTGATCCACAATGTACGAATTCTCCTTTGGAGAGACCGCCGACCACATGGCCGCGGAATCGACGACATATTTGACGGGGCAGAGCATGTGGACAAACCAGACCCATTCAACATCAATGGGAGGGACAACCTTGGTGCGTCTGGCAGCGGGAAGGCTTGCGAGCAGGGGTATCCAGACATGCTCGTAGCGACGGATGGCATTGCGGAGTATATTCTTGTTGAGATAGAGGGCGGGGTAGTTGTCGACAAGACGGAGCACGTTGATGAGGGCGCGTACCTGCGATGCTTGAAGTTTTAAGTTGGGGTTGGTTAGGCGGGAGATTTGGAGGCCCAAGGAACGTGACATACTGGTCGGATAGATGGCCGATATCGGCTGCGAGAAAGTAGCGGGTTCTCTAACTAGAGGGAGGACTTACGAACTTGAAGGGTGGCTGTTGTGTGAAAGAATACTGGGAAACATGGAAACATCTCGGTTTTGATAATGTGATTTAAGTGATGGAGACCCACAGCGTATGCGAAAGGTAATAGGTTGGTACGTTCATCCATTACGACGTAGTGTTAGTACGTTGGCAACGTACGGAGACTTCTGGCGTTCCTGAGGGCCGTTCCTAACGAAGAGTTCGCGGTGCCAGCACCCGAGCACCCGGACATTTGGCATGAATGGATTGGTTGAACGGGAGTAAAAGCATTTCCAACAATTTTTTTCAACCAATACATTCATGCAGAATGGCCGTGCATTGTTGCCCTTTCAAGAGACTCCTCGTGAGCCAAAATCTGCTCACGTGTTTTATAAAACATCAAAAAAGAACGAAGCAGGCAAATCAAGTGTGAAACGGTATGGAGTAGCCAATTCACCAACAACCCGAGTTAGTGTGCGTGAGACTACCCTTGAAGGGGATTCGCAGGCCCCCCTGAACCCTTTGGCACAGGCAAAAGTATCATCAAAGTACACTCACTCACACTAAAGTTAACATTATGTTCTGTGCGCACAGTACGAGCATAATATACTCGTACTGCATGTACAGTATCATACGTGCTGTACGTTAGATGGTGCGAAACAAAAAAAACAAAAAAAAAAACTATTTTCCCGGATATCGATCCGGGACAAACCACTTTTTTATTGTGAAAAATTAATATCACATTTTTAAAACTAAAATCCGAGAAACACACCCGTTTAGGTAAAGCTTTACTCTCCATAAAAGAACCGGCGATTAAGCGGCGCATTCCAGCTCAATTCGGCGTCAGCGCTTCAGGGCAGAAACATTATTTAGTGTTCATGACACTGCTGTACAGTAGACCCTTCTTAATATCGCAAAATAGTGCGATACTGACGTAGTGCACAATAAAGAACTTTTCTTATGTTTGGAAGTGCTCCATCATCGACGTTTGCCTCTTCACCCTTTTGTTTCGTCTATGAAACGCATCAGATAAAGCTCTTTTCGCTGTGCGGATGACATCGCAAACATCTATTTTCCATGCATTTACTACATTCAATTCCACTTCTTTGGAAGCAATTGATTTCATAGGAACTGCCTGGCTAAACAGAGAGCACCTCACTACTTTCTGAGTGAAAGAGATAGTCTCTTTCGTGACTTTTTAAAACGCGTTTAATTGAAGGAGGCCATGTTTTGCAATCTTGGCTTCCGTTGCGGAAGGGGTCATCATGGTTTCTTTCGTCATCGTCGACTAAATGTACTAAAAAGCTGACACGTGTTGGTGGTCAAATCTCTGTATTTACGTTTGGGGCCTTGTGGACATCAACTGTTTTCGAACACTAATTCGGGTTATCGGGTTTGCTGTATGATACCAACAAGCATAGTTCTACGTTAGCGGTTCTTTGGAAGTGATGGCATCATCTTTGGTATAACTTTACTCACCATTCTAACGATTCTGCGGCGAAAAAGACTTGCCCGGCGCATGACTATTCACAGTATGCATCAACTATAATTTACTTGATATGAGCATTGGGCAGTTTTCTATTCTTTTTCGAAAAACGTATACATACAGTTATTGACTACATAAGGATAATGTTAAGGAACTCTAACCATCGGCTTCGCCCTCGTTCACTGGCTTTCTTGACCCGTCTCGTCCCCAACCTCACACAATCGCTAGCGCGATCCTTCTCGTCTGCATTCATGGGCCTTTTTCGATCCGAGCTGAATTTTCTCACGTTCTTATTCCTATCACGTCTACCTCTCTTCTTTGGCAAAAGCCCACATGTCAAAATATTGCGAAGCCACGCTTTCGACAAACAGCAAACCCACGAGTTCAAGTTCATGCTCTCTTTGCGATTATCATCATCTCCAGACGAGCTGTCAGTTTCGAGCTCTTCACTCGAATCGTCAAAATAATCGGGGGATGGAATGTCTTCAGTCGCCTTCGGAATTCTTCCTGCCGAAGGTTCTTTCAGGATTGGAGAAGGCACATCCTTCGTGCTATTTAGCGGCGTGGCAAACTCGACATAATCATCAAAGTTCGCGTAGATGCTTCGCCCACGATAGTGCCCTTCTAGAGATTGCCGTGTCGGAAGAAGCCGTCCAAGATCTTCTTCATTAGTGATGCTAAACATGCGGCTTCTTGCAAAAGACCCAGGCTCACTCTGCATATCAAAGCTTGGGCGAGATGGGTGGCGGGGACGGTCTTCAAACGATACCTTCTTTAGCTGCGGCATCGACTTGCAAACGGGCATTTTCCTTCTATCACCCAAAGCATGCGGAAGTAAGCTATCTGAACGAACAAGGCGACGCTTTTTGGGAGGGGAAGAAGAACAATTAGAGTCCTTCTTCATATCCACGAAGGAAAGAACAGGCTTAGGAGAAAGGGTTTCATTTTGCTTCACAATTTTTCGCTCGGCAATAGTTGTTACTGCAACAGGTGCTGAACTTTCTGAGGAGACATGCATGTCGGAGAGACATGAGAGCGAATCAAGCGCAGCCTTTATCTTCTCTGAAGCTTCAGCAAGCTGTTTTGCTGTGTCCGCTGGCATAACTTTTTTCGCGGCGACTTGGTGCATTTCGCCGTCGTGAACGTTCTCTTTCTTCCATTTAAGAAACTGTTGATAGCCTTCGGGCGACATAACAACGATGCCTTCGGGCTGTCTGGGCAATTGGTGGGAGACGACGTCCCCGAGGAGAGTTTTTGTTGGAGAGTTTTCCATTTGGTTTGTTGGGGTTGTAGTGTGATTGGTAGTCAGCGTGTTTGATTGTTAAGAGGAGGGTGGCTGAGGAACAAGAATAGAGTTGGGTGGAGGGGCTATGAAATATATAGTCTTGTCCCGGAATGTCATCTGAGGAGTTGTCTAGCTGTGCTTCAAGTTAAAACGCGTAGGAACGACGAAGATTTATTTATGTAGGGTGAGACGTCCTCTTGAGAAGGTCGCATTTGCTCTTGTAGAGAAATTCGGTGCGACTTGTAAGTTTTAAGTGTAGGATTTCCCATTTGAAGGAAGGTATAGATTGAGATAGTTGTTTCAGATATTTACGTGTGGAAATGGGCCCGTTCTGTATTTCCAATGACGCCATCAACGGGCGTCCGAATGTACCGACCAAGTGAAAAGTGGGGTACTTGTGAGTGGTTGTTTTCGTGTTGCATGTGTTGCTTCGCGGTCGGGACACGTCAAGTAAGGACTAGCGGGTGTTCTGGACGTCGGACAAATGGGGAGACGGATGTTACAGGAAAGAGAATTCTGCAGGGGGCTGTATAAAGACAGAAGGGTCTTAATGCCTTCAGCAAACTGTTTGAAAGCACACGTAGACTTGTGTCGAGGTGGAGGATATGCGGTGTATACAGTGGAATTGCTCCCCACAAGACAAGCGGTAAGATGAGGAAGAATGTGATCGAGTGTGGCATTATTGCGAGCTCAAGAAACCGAGATTGTGACTTTAGTCAGTTATGTGCTGATGCTCTCCCTCGTTTTAGGAAATCGCCAAGCTGAGTAGCCCTTGTAGAAAACATCGCTTAGATTCCTGTTATCAACATACTGTAGTATTAGCATACGTGTCAAAAACCTACCCAAAATTACGACATCACAAGCAGGGACCTCACGAGCTGTCCAAAATCCGGCCGCGCCCTAATCCGGCGGGAATATTCCCAACCTGCATCCTTTCCCTTGTGGCCCATGCCGACCGCACCCTTTAACTACCTGTCAACTAACAAGCCGCGCAACTGCCATGCGCACATCCCCTTGCGTCATCTCCCCTTCTCTGACCTCCCCCTCCCACCGTGCGGCCAAGTCCACGCCCCGTCTCCAACCCTCCCTTTTGCTCCAGGCATCATCACCCGCCCTCCATGGCCGCCCCGCCTGACCGGCCCGACACCCATCACCCCCTTGCCTCGTGAATTCGCTCCTAGCTGTCTCTGTCTCTCACCATTTCTGCACTGCCGACGATCACAAAACGGCAGGGCGCGGTGCGTCCTGTCCTCCCCTCCCCTCCTGGACCGCAGCCCCCAACCTCCACCACCATGTCGATGCCCGCCCTCCCCACTGGCGATGCCGAGGCACCGTTGCTCATCTCGCTCAGCGACTCCACCCACGTCACATGGGCGGGCGAATCCGAGCCCGCCTCGGCCCCGCGGAAGACCGGTACTATCTTCTCGTCCGCCATGAACTTGGCCGCCTGCGCTCTAGGCGCCTCCATGCTCTCGCTCCCTTACACCATGATGATCTCCGGTCCCATCGTCGCCCTTCAATTCCTCATCGTCTTCGCTATCATGGCCTTCTTCTCCGCGCAGGCTGTCGTTAACGCCGGCCTCCGCTCGAAGAAAAGCTCGTACGGAGCTATCGTCAGGCATTATTTTGGCCCCATTCAAGGCACTATCGCCGAAATTCTCCTCGCTTGCGCTCTTATCGTTGCTGCCATTTCGTATATCGTCGGTCTGGCAGACTTGCTTCCCGTAAGTCGTACACTTTAGAAAGCAACACTGGGCGAGCGTTTGTATCGTTCACCCAACCATTCCACTAACATGAACGCATCTATCGATTTCATCCCCACAGGACATGCTTCCCTTCACGAAATGCTTGCAGCGCACGCCGCGCATCCTCTCAATCCTGATCGCGCTCTTCCCCGTGACGCTTGTGGGTTCGCTCGCTGCTTTCGGCCCGGCGTCAGCAATCGCCACTGCGGGCTGCTACCTCCAAGCACTGGCGCTCGTTGCGCAGCTCTTCGTCGGTGGGGCAGAATGGAAAGTACCAGACGCAAAGGTGTGGTCCTCTGTGGACATGGCGGGGTTGCTCTATTCAATGCCAATGATCTGCTTTGTGTATGCGTTCCACTACGTCCTTACAGAGACGCTCGTGGAACTTGAGAATCCTACCCGGATGCGGATGGCACTCGTGAACTTGTCGACAGTCGGTATCATGCTCGGATGCTACATCCCTGTGGCGATTTCGGGATACCTTGTGTACTCCGGTGAGGGAATCGGGTCGAATGTGCTGACGGGGTTGCCAGCTGGTTCGCCGACGGCGTTTATCGCCAAGTGGTCAATCGGGGGATTGTTGTTGATCACCTACTCGCTATTCATCATCCCGTTGAGACAGAAGTTTGAGGTCATGCTTTTTGGGAATTTAACGACGGTGATGACGGACCCGAAACGCGTGGCGATTGCTACAGTTTTGAACGTATTCGTTGCCGTGGTGGCCGTGTCGTTGCCGGACCTTGGATTGGCCAACACCCTGGCCGGCGGGTGCATTGCTTTGATCATGTTCTTTTTCCCGGGCAGGTTGATGGTGCAGTACCAGCTGGACTTGCCGTTTGACCAGCGGGACCCGCTGCGCATTGGCATCGGGATGATTTTCGTTTTCTTCGGTGCTCTCATCTGCTTCATTGGGATGTTTGGAAACATGCTCTTCAACTTCTAAGGTGGACGAAAACTAACTTGTTATTGGCAGCATTGCTGTCAGCTAGGTATCATACATGTGGTGCTTGGAGTATAAGGGGGCAATGTTTTTTGGACGGGCAGATTTTTTGGCAAATTTTAGACAAGATATATATCTTCTAGGGTATCCTACACGATATTTTTATAACTGGTCAAGTCTGCCAAATATATTCGTTGTGGACCGGCGTCTAATTATCTTTGCAACTCGATTCGACGGTCGTAAATACCCAACTCAGTATTTAGAATGGACGTAAATTATACGGATACCTACAGTAGTCCATCCGAATTCTGAGACACCTCATATACCCACCGTTAGCAAGACCGCTCCAGCTTTGGGATGTGCACTACCTGGTATACGCCCCTCTAGGGGATTAGGGGATTCAATCTAGCGTTCTTCTTGCTAGTTGACCATCTACCATCTACCATCTACCAATTCTTACAGAAACAAAAGATCTTCTCTCTGCTTACCGTTAAATCGTCTGTTGGCCTCGCGCGCATCTATGGGACACCCTTCGTATTGGTGCAAACAAAAAAAATATCATTGACGTCGGGCACGTGCCCGCAGATTACAGATGAGGTGCGAAAAGCGGACCCAAAGAAAAGCAAGCGGAGACCCGAGAGGGACCTGTCCTTCTCAGAATTTTCCTCGAATAAAGAAAACCATCAATGAGTAAATCGACGCTTGAATATATGTCTAAGCCCCTCATGCGTCTAAGAGAAAGAAGAACATGGAACGTCAGTACATGACACAATCTCCTTTTCCATCTTCACAAGAAGCAGTTGCAAAACCCTGCGAATCTCGCTATCTGTCTTCTGAGCGTTCCAAGAAAATATGAGATCGAAATCTGCAACCTCTGTAATTTCCGATAAAGCGTCTGTAGGCTGCCATCAGCAGGAAGCAACGCTAACAGAGGGTTGCGTCAAGAATTCATCCATAATCCTTCAGGTAGCGCGTTCGGGGCTGGCAACTTGTCTGACATGTCCAGCGACAGGCTGAAAGCAGTTCTGGAATGCCAGGGGGGACGACAACATGGATGCAAGGTTGGACGACAGTACAAGGCGAACTCTCCTGCTATATTCCCAGGAGCCTTACTCCGATCAGAACCTATCATGCACGACACATGCGACTCGTAAATGTCCCAACTTTACAACTTGAGACGACTGTCAGGCTCCAAAAAAAAAACACCAAGTCAACCACGTCACATACTGTACGCCTCAATTCTTATTCGCGCGGCAGACTTATTGCATTACGCGTTACCATTCCACTATTTACAGGGCTCTAGTTGTCTGTGTCATTCAAGATGTCATTCCCCTCATGCAAGCTGAGGGTATCTGTCATCTGTCACGCTGCGCCAGTGAAACCTCTTCAGCTTCGGTAAGTAAATTCAGGCAACCTCCAGTACATAAGCAACCTCCTTGCATCTCGTTAGCCCACCTGACTCCGTTCACTTCAGCATCCCCTCGGTCCCGCGCCTCAGAACGCATCACCTCGCACGCTCATGCACCATGGCCTCCCTTCCCTTCTTCGCATTTATCCTTGCCGTTTTCCTTCTCCCCACTACTGTCCATGCCGACCGCTTCAACACCACCGCCCAACGCTGGGCATGGATGACAGGCACGCCGAACGAGCTCCGGTTGGCCGCCCGCCGGCAAAAGCTTCGCATCACAGATCTCGAGCTTATTGGCCGCAACCCTATCACTTATGCCGCTGTCATGGTCGACAACAGCGGTGCAAACGCCATCCGCTGGTATTTGTACACGGACCTCCGCCTTAACCAGCTTCTCCGGGCTAGCCGGAAAGACAGTTCCAGACTCATAGAGTTGGAGTCTTACTTTCTAAGCACTGCGCCCGGTGCGCAGCAACTGTTTTCTGCAGTTGGTATTCCCAATGTCGGTCCAAGGTTTTCGACGTTGTGGGGATACTCCCTGAACTATGACGCTAGACAGATCAAACCTAGATTGCGGAACGGGTTTTTTAAGATTGTCGACATCGATACGTTCTCCATTTTCGGAAGGAATTTTTACAGCTTTCTTACTGTGGAGAATGCCCGGATGAACAAGGCTGTTTCAAGGTTCTTGTTGCATACCACGCCAGAGGCTATTATGAAGAAGGCAAAGCAAACAAACTCCAGAGTTATTGATACCGAGAGACACTTTGACGGAAAGTATACGGCTGTCATGGAGGTTATGAAAAAACCAGTGAAATGGTTTTGGATTCGTGGAGTCCTCGCTTCGAGTATCGATGGTTTAGCACAAGCCAATATGGCAAGAGTCTATGACCTGGAAGCTTATGAAGATGGGCCGCTGTTCAAGTATGATGTGCTTCTCATAAGGAACGAATTGTAGTTTAGTAACGATACGTCGATAAGAGTATAGTACAATTTCTACAAAAAGGATGTTTCCATCTGCAAGAACCATTATCCCGAACTGCTGTAAACTACTAACAGCCATGAATCTTTTCCGTTTCCGCGAAGCTAAAAAACATGCATGGGCCATGAGGGCAAAGCAGAGCACTATAGGACCGTGCCTACAGATTTCTGCAAAGCCACAGAATATCATCTTGAAATTCCGGTGCGGTCCCTTTCTAATTCTCTTGCGCAATCGCCCCCGGTCAGCATATTGGAGGGGGTCTCACTGCAGAAAGCAGTGTAGACGACAAGTGAATTGGACTAGGAGGTCAGTTTTTAGTCAGAATGTCTGTCAGTCTGGAGCCTCGAAAAGGCCGTACTGGCCTTCTCTCAGAGCGAAAATCGTACGCTGCTTCACAGAAGCGCTCGGGAACGACGTACAAGTGTCAAATAGCACTAACATCGATCTGATCACGACGGGAAACTCGATTGGCAATGTATTGATTCTATTCACGTCTTTGACGAATATGGTCAAAGTGCGAAGCGAAAGTTGAAAAGTGGCCTCACCTGAGGCCACGAAGCTCCTTCTATCTCGCTCTTCTGCATATTTTATTATCTTGTTGCAGGGATCTTTAACTCGCCACACATTTTGTGTGTCTACATACAACTTTACAAAAGATCGTAGTCTCCCCAGCTTCTTTAAGTTGTAAATGACAACGCCGAAGTTAAAATGAGAGCAGCAAAAATGCAAGACACTCCATAAAAAATCTTCCGCAGAAGATCCTGGAAAAAAGAATATTTGAAGGTGTCTCATTACGACAGCTTTGACGGATACACAGTAGCTCGGAAGAGTCTCCGGCTTGATCTGCACTTTATTAAAGCACTCTAATTAAGACAAAATTTGTGCTTAAGATAACACTCATTCGCGAGAGCTCGGAATAATCTCGTTTTACCTTAAGGTTATTGTAAGTCTCAGCCCTGCCCTAATTTTCATGTGACCGAATACTAAGAATTTCGGAGGTTCCCACTTTAACGTGATCATGTGAGGCTTTCTCTTTCGGACTGCCTAGATAAGATTGCGGAAAACGTAGACCATGGCATGCAATTTTAGAGATCACCATTGTAACCATTGATCTCCAGGTCCTCGCCTTTGTGCTCACTGTGTCGTCCTTCTTCCGTAAAATCCATCTCAGTTTCTGCACGCTTGCTCAGTAAATATCTCTTGTATGCTTGAATTGATTCTTTGCTTTTTGGGGCCCTTCGTGTGTAGATTGACCACACAGTGAAGCTAAAATCAACGAAAATAGAGATGCACGCTATGACCGAAGACGTTGCACTGAGCACCTTCCAGAATAGCGATTTTTTCTGCGCGTACTTTAGAATGGCACCACCTGCCGCTGCACTGAGGGGGAACACGTACGCCCACCATGCAAATGAAAATTCAACATTCCAGAAATTCGGGAGCAGCCGAAACATGAGGAGGTACAGATAGAAGTCAACGGCAAGAAAGGCATCTGAGACGCCGTTCTATGGTGGCTCGGATGGTAATTTAACAAGACCTGATTTGTCTTCCGTCATCGTCGAAGCTGTAAGCATAACAAACGCGATAGCTGCTTGTGCAGGTGGTGCTATGAAAAGGAAAAATGTTGGCTGCGGCCTTTCGGTATTCTACACAAGGATCATTGCTATGTGTTGGAAATTTGTGATCAATACGAGAAGTCAGAAGAGACATCCGATAGAAAACATGGCGTAGGCCTCTTCTACAAGATGAGCAGATGCAGCGATATTGGTGAGCAAGAAAACCCCGATTGTTTGCATGAAGACCAGCGGATAAATGATAACAGAGGGATGTGCCACTATGAGCCATTCTCCAAATAAAAACAATGACAGACTGATTTGATAGGTCCCAAGAATGCAAAAGTCAATAGTGTAAAGTGAGACGGAATGAAGGTAGTCAGTGGTAGTCAAAAGACATAAAGAACCCGATATCACCGGGATGAAGAAAAGATTAACAAGGCGAGGGTGGCGAAAGTCAAGGCATACGGAAAACGGAAAAAGCCATGCTCGGAATGAATATAGAGCAAAGCAAACAAACAGAACAGCACAAGAAATATAGAACATCGCGTCTCCCAATTTGTGAAAGAAGATGGCCATCTTGGAATGATGCGCGGCCGTCTGGATCAGCATTGTAAAGGCAAAGAAAGCAAGAGAAATGGAGTTGTGCGAGACATCCCATTGAACAAGAGCTTGTTTCCAGGATGCGACTTCAACCTCATTGTCTGCAATTTCCCTAGGAGCTGTTGGTTCGATACGCAAAATGGACACAGAGAAACTCTGTGATGCATCTTGTTTGGTAATTGACATTTGTCTTCAGATGGAGGATAAGACGATAACGATTTGGCTAAAGGGTAAGAAATCGAATTTTGTTCAGAACCGGTTGTTCTGATCTGCCTAGATCATGTATACCGTATATACACTTTCTAAGTGAGTCTTTGATGTGAGGTGTGAACCGAAATAGGTCGGCAGTAAGGTACTGCCGATGGTCATGCACGTGGTAAACAAAGTTTTAAAGATAGTCTACGGAATTGGCACCCTCGCGTAACAAGTATACTTGTTTGTGGGATAGATACTGACACTCTATTAGACAATGTTGCGAGAGATATCACCTAGAGTTGATGAACAGCTTCGAACGCTCGCAAAAATACCAGAACACGAAAGCACACCTTCGCAACTCAGGAGTTGCCTTGCGGGAAGGTGCCCATCTATTGCCATGGAGTGGTGCGAAGGTAGTGAGTTGTGGAGCCACGGTAATGAGCCGAAACAATGAGTGGTGTTTTTTAGATCATCTCAAGAATTAGGGCTTCGCGTCGTCACAATGAGTCTAAAGAAGTGATCGGCTTGAGCCAAAACAACTCATCCTTCCCTGACACCATCTTGAGCGTTGTCGATTTTAATCATTGACATTAGAATGTCAAAAATTTAATGTTTCCGACTAGCTACTAGTAGTGTCTGTCCGACCAACGTTATCATAACATAAAAACCGGCGACTTTTATTTCTTTTCAACTTTGATGGCCACGGTTTCTATTTTTCTTTGGTACTTGCAAAAAAACAGGAGTTAAATCGCGCTTTGCGTTGCCAGGAAAAAAACAAAATAACATTTTGTTCTCATATGAGGACTATCGGTCCGATAGACACTAGCTCGAATGTTCGTTGATTCATGCAACTGATGGTCGCGGTTGCGAAATCGCTGTCGAGCTCATCAGTGGCGAATTTGACAAGTTTTTGTTGCCGAGGACTCCAGTGTCGCTGCGCCACTTCGACGACTACTGTAACTAATTAAATGCACAAAGTTTGAAGGTAAGTTTTTAGAAAGATCTCAAAACGCTTCAGTTGAACGGACACGGGTCTCGGTATGTTTTGGATATACGACACGTTGACGAACAATGGTTCTATATTTGTACGTTGCAGGAATGAAAGTGTCAAACCAGCACAACACGGACTTTCACTGGACTGTCGTCTTCCAGAAACTGGATCTGTTTCGCACTGCGATTCACGTCGGGTGACATGTTTGAAACCAGCTTACTGGGATAGCGGCAAAATAAATGTGAAAATCGAGAGTCTTTGCTTCGCCCTTGCGTGTAGCTGGGCACCCGCGAAATGAGTGTAGTAGGATAGGAGCCTTGTAGTTTTTTAAATGGGTCTTGTGATTTGTGGACTCAAAGGTCGAGTTCGAGAGACACCGTTCCGGGAAAGCTGTCTGATATTCCATATAAAACTGGAATTGTTGGCATTTGCGATGTTCTGGAATGGACGAATCGCTCGCGAAAGTTCCGAAAACAGCTACGAAGATTCCTTCTCTTTGCGCAAAACGGTGTTATTGGCTTCGCAAGTTCTCGAAGCAAGTCAAAATGTTTGCTGATGTGCCCGATCGGCGTTCTGAATTCTATTTTGTGTTTTGATTACGTAATTCACGTTCTTGTCATCTCAAAGCGGCGTCTTCCAACTATGCCCCTGAATCAACCTAGATAACTCTTTTCTCCGATGCGTCAGAGCAGTGTATCATAGCGTAGCCCACGACGCAGAAATGACATCGTGCTGACGAGTCTCAATACAAATTGGGACGATTGCCAACTTTTCGAGAATATCCAAAGATGTGAGTATTCTTTGATCTCTCACAGAAATCCCTTGCGTTTAAGGATCCTTCCCTTCGTCAGCTGCTACACACCATACCCGTGTTCAATACTCGAGACTCCATCAAAACTAAATCTGATTTATAATACTTAAGACGAACAATGTTGTCTGCCGGCTGTAACCCTCATAAAAAGCCCTCGATACGTTGACTTGAGAAGGTGTCTCTCTCCAGTTCCGGTAACGTCATTGTGAACAACTGTTGGAGCAGTTTTTGGATGCACATGAACCGTTGAAATGGAGAATTTGTTTTCCAAGTAAACGCTGTGCCAACGAAATCACTCACGTGTTGGGATAGTTGATTTCTCTTGAGGGGTTTTAGTGACTTCCTGCTTTAGTCGGATTCAGTGAACATACATTGATCAAACAATTTGTGACGATGCCTTCTACGTTTGAGCAAGACAACAGGGTTGTACTTTTTCACTGTTCTGATTGGTGAGATGGTGAGATGAGGTATTCAGGTTTGAGCATAGAGATGTTGGATGCGTAGTGTGTGTATTCTTGAAGTGTTGTGAAGGTTAGGAATCGCTTATATGATATTCATATGTCGAAATTATGATTCTATCGAGAAGAACGCCAAAACCGAAAAGGTAAAGAGCACTTTCTTTACCTGTTTTTGATTTGTCGTCCCCACCCATTCCGCAGCCCTCACATACTGGCGTGAAAGTGGAAACGAGTTTCTCAGGACCGGAGCAAAATGCTACTGTAGAGAATCAAATGCTCTTCCTTCTCTTTCTCAACAAAGCACTTGTCAATTGAGGTCGTTTCCCATGACGAGGGAGGCGATTGCGAAAGGGCATGTATTCTCAAGAACAGGGGCAGACTCTCTATGTGCGTTCCAGCTGTATCTGCCAAACCCTTCGGCAAGACAGTCGTCTACTAGCACAAGCAGTGACAATCCTGCATGGATAACTTGCTGATCAAATCTCAATTCAACGTACCTACAAGATCTAGTTCCCCCTTTGGCATCAACCTGTCTTCGAAGCCCTTCTCAAACCTCCCCCACGCGCTCTCCTGCACGACCTAACCCTCCCATTCGTGCGGATAGCGGCCTCTCCCAAGCCCCGGCTGCTCCTTGACACCGCAACGGGACGCGCCTCGCGCCACCGGCCCGGCATCCTCGGAACCGCGGCGGCCGACCGCGCGCGAGCACACAGTCGCCATGCGGCGTACGCGCGCGCTCGCTCGCGCGCTCGAGCCCGAATTGGGGGGCACGGTGCCGGCGGTTGTGCAGAGGATCATGGGGCCGAGGCGCCATGCGTCCACGGACGAGGCGGGCACCGCGCCCGCGGAGGCACGGAAGTAGCAGCTGCGCGGGCTCAAGGAGGAACGGGGCCGGGCCCGCGTGCGCGACGGCGAAGACGGTGGCGGCGGAGGCGGTGGGGGAGGCGAGCAGGAGGGTGGACGGAGGAGGACACTGGCCGTGTTCTTCATGGCGAATTGCGCCCTCCGTCGGGGGGCGGAGGGGCGGGTAGAGAACACTGGAGGAGCTTGGGCAAAGGCATCGGCGAAGAGCCGGGGGGAGTTGCGTGGCGGACGTGAGCGACGAGGGCGACGCGCAGGAGTGGCGAGGGGGGCGGTGCAAGGTCTTGCGTGGTGGGGCGGGTGCTGCTGGACTGCGGAGAGGTGCTGCGCGGAACTTGTCACGCTTTTAGAAGGTGGTGGGGATGAAGAGGCACAAGGGGGGTTGATAGTTTAAAGCCTATGGAGGACGTTTGTTGTTGCGGAAACAAAGAGGCCTTCTTCCATGCGATGCATAATTCACTCTTCATGTGTCTTGGGCACTCGCTTCGTTCGGAGAACGAGAAGGCCGCCCAGTGATGCACAGTTGTTTCGGGTAAATTTTGACGTCTGAGCGATGTCCAAATTTCCTCACCTTGCATACCGTATTGCGCTTCTGCGAATCATTCTGCAAAGCTCTCAGAAGGCACCGGTCCTGGTGACCATCAACAATCAAAATGGTCCTTGTTGGGCTCCAGTCGCGGCGTCATTCCCTGGTACTGACAGGAGGTTTGCATCGTTCAGACGAAGGCACATCATAGCTTTATCCTTTATCAACCCCCCTACGTTTCGTCCGGCCGCTCCTCAGCACCGCAACCCGGCGCGTCGGCGTCACTGGTGCGGCAATGTCGCCACTTTCCGACGCCGCTGCGCAGCGGGAGGGATGATGAAAAGCCATCTGCCGGGGGGTTCCGGCAGGCGGTGAAAAGGGTGTGGGAGGCGGGGGCCGAGCCGATGTTCTTCATGCTACGATGTAAGCGCGGCGTTCGCCGTCGACGATGCACGCCCTGAGCAGCGCAGTGCAAACGCTGCAAGCGGGGCGGGTGTAAACTGCCGTCACCTTGCTCCTCGCCACCTTTCACCGCGCAATCGCCATGCGTGGTGCGTGCCCGAATGCGTCACCGCCGGCCCCTCTCTCTGCACCACACTGCGCGGCCCGCTTGCGCAGGAGAGAGAGCATCGCAGCGTCATGGCGGTCATGGCCTTGCAGGTGGACTGGCCAAGCACTTCAATTCACAGCGAAAAAGGCGGCCGATGACCCACTTCCACCGTGCATCATTTTCCCGTTTTTTGCCCGCTAAACGCCTTCGCCTTTTTCCCCTTCCCTTTCCTTCGCACCTGCACTTCCTCCTCCTCTTCCACCTTCCAACTCCCTCCTCCATCCCGTCTCCCTCTTCCCCCTGTCCTTCCTCCCCCATGTCCTCCACGCCTCCACCCACCATGCCTCCCCCCGACCCCGAACCGCATTCAGTGTCCCCCCCCTCCTCCGATTCCCCCGCCATGTACGAGTCCCCCTCCCCACCCAGTACCGCTTCCTCGGGCCATGAGTATCGCCCCGCCGCCTCGTACGGCTCCATGCGCCGCCGCCGCACAGGTGCAGACTCTCCCCTGACGGACCTCTCCCCCTCCGCCGCCACCACTGCCGTCGTCGCTCTATCCAACGACGCCGCCCTGGGCTCCATCTCCCCCATCACCCGCCGCCCAGACCCGGCCGCCTCCATTCCATACAGCGACATGCCCCAGGATGGCGAAGACACCGCCCCGCACGTCTCCAACGTTGTCTGGCATGACTCCAGTTACGTCCCGGTGCTGCCCGCCGATGAGACCACTGCGCTCATGCGCGACGCCCCGCTCGACAACCACTCTGTCAGCGCAAGTGAGCTTCTGTCGCGATCGAGGGCAGACCTCGAGCGCGCGAGGCTCGCCAGCACGAGGGAGTACTCGCGTAGGGAGCTCCGGGAGGGCATGAAGGACCGCTACATCCTGGGATGCTCTGTGCTTGTCATGACCGCGATCGTCTTTGTCATCATCGTATCCGGCATGACCACCATCCTTGCCAACAGAAACTACCCGCAGCTCGAAGTGTTCTCCGACTGGCCCAACGGCGGCCTCATTCCCCTCAAGTACGGCTGCCATGCCCCCGACGGACACCCGGTCTCCATCCCGCTGCGCTGGCGCAACGTCCCCCGCGCCGCCACCAACCTCGTCGTGCTTTTCGCCAACCCAGGCGCCATTTCGAAACGGAGAATGGATCCCGTGCATTGGTTCATCACTGATATCCCGCTCGAGGATGATAAAGATGGCTCCATTCCGGCAAACGCCTCGCTCAATCCGGAGCTCATGCCCCCAAATTCCAAGCAACGCGCTAATGCGGGCTCTAGTAAGGGCGTGTATTGGCCTCCATGCGTCACGAATGGGACCAGCTTTTTCATAGTCCACATATATGCGATTGAGGCGCCCCCCGTGATTAGTGACTTTCGAGATGCGAGGGAGATTATGAACCGGTTTGTGGGCGTGCCGGTTGCCAGGTTAACAGGGTGGTACGGGAAGCCGAGAAGAGTGCTTCCTGGAAAGGGGAAGAAGGAGCCGTCCCACGGAACGACGTCTGACAAGAGTGAAAGAGGCGCAGAGTCCTCTAACGTGCACGGAAAGGGCTCAGATCTAAGTGAAGAAGACATCCAGTCGTCTGACGACCGCGGAAAGGCGTCGGGTGACAGTGAAGAAGGCACAGAGTCGTCTGACGCCCACGGAAAAGCGACGGGCGGGAGGGAGTGAAGAAGGTGCAGAGTTGTCTGACACCCAAGAAGACTAGCGAGCGGTTGTTGAAGATAGTGTAACACTAGCTCGGCACTAGCGCTACTTTACTTACACCTCGTCCAAGTTGTGTACGGTAGATTCCGATCTCTGCAATAACGAGGTGCCATTAACTTTCTATTAACATTATTCACGCGGTAAAGCACTAAACCTTGATGCTATGTTGCCGCATACGACTTCGAGTCCAGTCCCCGCCTCGCTGGAATGCTCTCCCTCAGGTAAGTGAGTTCTCTTTAATGCACAGGTATTCCATCAAACCTCCGACGGCCTCAACGGCATGCATAGATTGTAAAACGCATCCGCCTTGAACACATCCGCAGATTTCCAAGCGATCCATCCCTTATTTTGAATCGTACTTAACTCATCTCGTCCTTCGTAGTGCGGATCCAGAATCAAAAACTTAGTCTTTCCCGTCTTCTCGTTCCTTGCCACTCCCAGAATTGTCCACGCAAGCACGCCGCCTCCAACCATGACGGGGCTCCCCTGCTCATCAAAATGCCTCGCTAGCTCACGCCCTTTTCCTTCCATTTCTGACCCCCGGCTCACATGCAAAATCCTGCTCGATACTCCCGTTAATTTCTCCAGCGCATAGCACACTTCATTTGCACCTATCCATTCCTTCGATCCAAAAAACGTCGGGGGCTTGTCGCCTACATCGACGAGCGCCCTTTGGATATCTTTATGTGTCGGCAAAACACCCTTTTCAAACTGCGCATATCGCTCAAATGCACACCAACTAAGCACCGTTTGCAACGATCGATACGCACATCCCCACCCCGAATCGTTAAACCTATCCTGCATGTAGTGACAGTATAGATACTTGTTTTGTACTAGATGCACGGCCACCCCCTCATCACCCAGGCCATGAGTTTTGATTCCATGATGTACATCGGCCAACCTTCCCGGATGGCCCCCATCACCAACCTCATTCTTCGAAGCCTCCGCGGTGTAAACTCGACATGACTTTCGCAGAAACGGCCGGTCCAGCGGCAACACAAACTGTTCTTGAGTCTTCCGTCGCCAAGCCGAACGCGTTTCGCCCGACTCGTCTCCAGTTTCCTCATCCGCGGCCGAGACCACCGTTGCAGAAATACCGCACCCGAAAAGCGGGTAATGAGCCATGCACACGGACATGTCCTCGGCCACATCCCTCGCCGTCGTCAGCACTCTGCGCACTGCTGTTGCGATCAAGTCCGCCACAGCTTCCCGTGTAGCGTCCTCACCACAATACACAATGGCATTGACGCTGACTTGCTGAATTGAATTCAAAGTGTTGTCGTCATTCGCAATGTATAATCCAACCAGATTCGCACGCGCATTTCCGTCGGTGAACAGACTGGCCTCACAGGTCTGCGACATTCCGCGCTTTCTAGCAATTTGACTCAGTTTCTGTCCATCCCCCAGCACTGCACCATCGATCGTGACGAGACGTGCCTTTTGGCATGTCTGCACGGTAGCGTCGATGTCGTTGGGCCGTACACCGAGCAACGCTCGGAAGCGGACGGCAATAAGGTTGGGTGATGTATTCTCGGCTTGGAGGAGGACTTCAGCAGAAAGAGCAGTAGTGCCAAGCTCGATGCCTGCTGGTAGAGCCACACCTGATGGCAGCTCAGAGGAACGGCATACACCAACTGTGACGCCGGAGGCCGATATCGGGTAGTATGAGGCTGAGTCTTCTGTCTCCTTTTTCAACTGCGACGCCGTCTCTTTCGAGAGGAATTGCTCGTAAGCCTGCACATCAGGCATTTCGAGGATTGGATAAGACACGGTGGTCCTTCTTGGGCGTCGTCGATGATGAGAAGATGCGCTCTTAGAAGAGACAAGGTACTACAGTATAGAGGTTGACGTCATGCTCTGCTCTTGTCTTGCTCCGCACTACTGTACCAAGGGTACCCTTCCCCAAAAGGCTAATCCCGGACACTTTTCAAACAATCTTCGAAAAAAATACTTTGCTGCGGATTTTCGCTGTTCTAACCAGCATCAATCGATCTGGGAGGCTGTTTTCTAGGAAACTTCAGTCGCCGGACTGCAGAACGCCTGTGTTTGAGGACACCCTCCTACAGTAGGTCTCAAACGCAGATCCTCGCTGCGTGCAGCAAGATTTACTTCACATGCAGAACAAAGGTAAAATATGTATGCACTTGGTCTTTACGAAGTTTCTTGATAATCATTGGCCATCCTCAGTCTTTTCGAAAATCTCGTTATGATAAACTAGAACATGGGCAACTGTAAACTGATATCACTATTGTTCCGTTCCACAACCTTTCGGTTCTTCCAAAAATCTTCCGCAAGAGACGCACCCGAAATCCGCCACCTCCCTCTCCCATCCGCCCGCGTGAGAGACAACAGCTCATGTGAGCTGTTGTCTGTGTGAACACACCCCCTATTTCCAGGTGCACCACACAGTGCCAACCTTCTCACTCTCCCCCCCGCCCACTTCGCCGCCCACTTCCGCCCAACTCCCGCCGCTCCTCATGCACACTACACCCATCCATCTGACCCGCCAGCATTTGCCCCTTTCCCGTCCGTCCCGGCCCTCACTCACCCTTCCAGTACTCTCCCTGCCCAGTTCCTCCCCCACATGCCTCCCCGACTCCCGGGTCCGGCCCGAAAGTGCTGCAGAGCACCTTCGACGCGATCGTGTGCGAGGACATATCCGATTTCGGCCAGACCCCTGCGGAGGCGGTGTCCGACGCGCGCGCCCAGCTGACTGCCGCGAGCCTCACGGACCAGTCCAACCTCTCGGACCCGACGGCGTCTGGCCCGGCGGACGTGCAACAGCGCGCCGCGGAGCTCCTGGCTGCGCTGCGCGCAGACTTGGCCCTCCCGTGCGACGCAGCCGCCGCAGAGCGCATCGCACGCCGCCTGCAGGCGGCGGAGGCGGCGCCAAGCAGGGCGGCGCCCTGGGCGGCGCACACAAAGGCTGGTGCACGCGAGGGCAGCAAGGGAGCCGAGAAGGCGGAGGTAGAAGAAGACGACGCCGGCGTAGCGCGGCTGCAGGATCTCCGGGACCAAGGCGACGGCGGCCGCGAAGTGCACTGCCCAGGGGCAGGCCTGGAGAGTTGTGCTACCCGGACGACGAAAGAGGGGATTGGGTTTTCGCGTGTGGACATTCAGGCGTGCTGGGATCATGTTTACCGCGTTTACGCACTACGTTTATGGAAGAGAGAGCATGGGGCAAGTTGCACACACAATCAGTGAAGCGTCCGAGACACGCATGAGATGTAGTTTTAGTCGGACTCATCTGTGTGGTTGATGGATCTGAACTGCATCTCCACTCGGCGACGACGCTTTTCGCGATAACGCCTTTGCGCCTAGCGCCGTTTTTGAATTTGAGATGTTGCTATATGATAGCGGCGGTTCTTCATCGTCCTCAAAATTTTGGAGTCCTCAGCGCGTAGAGGATTCTTGTGTAAATGAAAGTTTGTCAGTCCCACACATAAACGGAAAATACTGTCATAACCCGCCTCACTCCATTTCCACTTCGCTGCCATGACATTCCAAAGACCACAAAGCCTTCCAAAAAAGTTTTCCACTATAATTCTATCGCTTGAAATGTGCCTGTTATTAGAAACCTCGGCTTGCATAAGTGTTCCATTGATCGGTTTTTTGATCGGATGGATCACACGACAGAACTCCTTAGCGCCATAGTATCCTTTATCGCACAGTACAGCCCAATAGTTTTGGAACTCATTCGACAAGGGCCCATCATCCTCCATGTCATTTTCACCTTCCCCTTCACCTTTGCGAAGTTGTTTCGAGTGAAAGGGTAGCATGGTCTCGAATATTTTTAAGTCTGACACTGACCCAGGCTCATGAGCGCTGCAACCTAAAGCAAGGCCATTTGGCAGTACCGAGACCTCAGTCTTGTAGCCATACAATTTATGTTTCCGGCTATAGTACAGCTTGCCTTCCTCCACGCTGCCACTCGGGCGGAAACTTTGCTGGAATATCACATCAGTGGCATAACGCGCAACAGGGTAGTTTTTAAATCCGACTTTCTTGCTCTCCATGACGGCCATTTTCCATTTCTTACCTTGATATTCCACATAGTGATGGAAGACCGGATAAGAGATTATGTCTACAAATTTCATAATCATTCGCTCAAACGTAGGACCTTTCAAACTGAACATCTTGGCCAAGAAGTCCCATTGGCCTCCATGTTTTAATACAGAGAGTGTCATAAACAGGACATCACGTGGAGTATGGGAGCATTTGCGTCCACGCCCTGCCTTGTACCTCTCTTTGATGGCCTTTTCCAGGCTGCACCAAGTGGAATGGAATTCTGTCGGACTGAAGTTGGTCATCTGTATGACGGCGGCAGCGCCCCCCTTTTCGTAGAACTGATCATAAATGGGGGACTCACTTTCCACCTCATCGTCCGTATCGACGGCGTCAGAGTCTGAGACATACTCCTCCAGGTCCGCACGGCGCTCCACGGCGGCATCGGAGAGCAGGAGTAGAGCTCTTGCAGCCTGCATGGGCGTCACAGATGCCATATTATGGCTAGTTAAAAGGTGTGGGGTCAAGGAGGGAGAGGGAGTGGATTGGTGTGGTTTTAGTGTGGTGGGGTGCTGTGCGGGCGCGCGATGTTGACATGTTTCCGAAAGACCAGAGCCTATTATAAAAGACCGCCCTTTTTTGAACTGGACCGATAATTTTCGTAAATCATTACAGCTCAGGTTATGACAAAGTCGATCGAAAACAGATCTAGTGGACCTGACAATACCACGTATTCATACAAATATTTCGAAAGTACTGATATACTGGATCAGTTCCAATTGCGCAGTACTTTTACTGTAGGAATCAATGTGATTTTGTGTGCGACAGGTGTTTGCACGAAAGGTCTAGTAGTGGCCAGCGCCCAAATTGACATGTGAGACATTCACAGTTGAATTCCGGACAGACCTTTATTTCCCCTCCAACCCGCCTCAACCAACTTATTGACGCAGTCGGTCGCATCCATTTGCACCACTGTCCCTTCTGACATTGGTTTAAGACCAGCTGTTTGTTCCCCTGGCGCATTTCTCTTCATCATAGCCTTCTGCTCCTAGAAGCCCGATTTTTCTTCCACAAATCCAGGACGTTTCGTCGCCCTCCCCGTCTCCGTCCTCTGCTTCTTCTCTATCCTTTTTATCCTCGCTGCATCCCGTTCTGCCATCTTTCTCTTCTTTTCATCAGCTACCTTCATCCGCACATCTTGCGCGTTGTGGGATAACTCCTCTCCGCCCTGGGTTGGGTGAGAGGCGGAGCCTTTAGCGAGGGAGCACGCGGCGCAGACGCGACGCGCCAATTGAACCGATCGGACGAGCTCGCGAAAAGGGAGTGGCTCACTGTCCGGTTACGCGCAGTCGCCCCGTGGTGCGTGAACGGGAGCGACCGGTAACGGGTTAGAAGCCAGCGCGCGCGACGGACAACCGAAAACGGACGTACGTAGGCGCAAAAGGGACGGGGGTGAGCTTGCCCCAGTTTACTGGTGGGGACGGGTGTCAGGTCTAAACCCCTCAGCGGGACGCCTCGGACACCTGTCCCAGTATACAGTACCTGCCGCCTAGTGCGTACCAGGTACTGTACGCCATTAAAAAAACTAGCGCCTCAATTCCTAATTACCGCGCGGACGCTGCAGGTACACGTGTGTACTACTGTACACACGCGCTGCTTACAGACTACCGCACGGATGCCACGTGTGCTAGCGTACACGTAATACTAGCGAACTACCGCTTGGCCGACACGTGCACTACTGTACACGTACGCCAGATTACGACCACTCGGCACGAGCGCGCTCCCTACACGTGAGCACACCCGCCCACGTGTACACCGTGCACGGCCGCACGGATAATAATCTCCCCGCGCGCGCGTCCGTCGATATACTACAGACCCCCTTCCTTAGCTTTCGCTACGTCCTCGTAGCGACCACCCGTCCGACCACGCAGTTCCGTTCCGGTTTGTCTTCTTCCCTGCGCGCGCGAACGACCATGCCTCCTAGCTCTTCTTTAAGCGGGCGCTCTGTAAGCCGGCTGTCTCGTCCGATTCGGTAAGCATGTCCTTCACTTCCCTTCACGCGAAGCCTGCCGAACCCTCAACTCACTCTCCTCAATCTCCTCACTCTCCTGCGCGCGCTGCCTCCTCGTCCCGCGACGGCATCCCCCTACAGTAGCTCCTGCCGCATCCGAGAACGGTCGACCGCGAGAGTCCTGCTGCAGCGCCTTCGTACAGTGCGCCGTCGAGCCCTGCGGGGGCTCCGGCGTCGGCGCAAGCGCCTCCCGCGTCCCAACCACGACGTCGCCTCTGCGGAGAGCCGCGATCGGCCCCCGAGTTGGCCGGGCCCGCGCTCGCGTCGGTCGATTCGTCCGATTCGGTGGAGCGACGGCGGCATGGCGCGCACCCAAAGCAGCGCTCGCCGCGGCCCTCTAGAGGGCCGGGCGAGGGTCGAAGGACGGCTGTGCCCTGCCCCCCCGCACACGGGCGAGGCACGAGTTCCGTGTGGACGGTCGGGGTAATTTCCCGTTGTCAACCACCCTCCCGGAGGGCTGGCCAATTTGTAAAGAATCTGCGTTCACTTGCCATCCAACGAGCGGCGCGAGCGGCGCACCCACCGTAGTACGGCACCACACGGCAGTTTCACGCGTCTCCCTTGCGGTAGCGGCCTCTATTGCGCCAACACCGATCCAAAAACCGTACGGAGCGCCCTCTTTCCACCAGCCCGAATTAGAAACTGAAAGAAAAGATAAGAAACAGTAAGAAAC